AAGTTGAGAATTGAAATTTTGGACTAAAAAATAAATAMTTTTCTCTAACCGTGATGAATATTTAAATCAATTATAATGAACTCGATGAAACAAAATGGTAGCTACCAAAAATATATTGCATCTAATAATGAAAATATTAATATAGCGTAAACGTGATCTCTATAAAATTTAGTTCTCTTCTAGTGTTTCCTTAAGTTTTGGTCTGCATTTAAATAAAATATACGCAACATGTGATAAAAGAATAGAATAAACACCGCAGCTATATCAAGATTAGCTTTCTCTTAAATTCACCATTTCAATCAACATTTGAGAGTAGAGGAGAAATTGAAAATATCGATTGAAAACAACATCAGTTAAAGCAAACTGGTTTTTATCCTTAACTTCAGCATGATAACTTCTTGGACCTTTCTTTGATCCTTATTATTGCATGTGTTCATTTAGGATATATAACATACAGCAAAAAATGCATTATTTAAAATGGCAAAAAATAGTTGATTTTAATTTAAATTTCGAATGAAAATCTATTCGTCGAAATATATTTTCTCTATATTAGAATGACTGTCAATGACGGTTTACATACAAAATCTTTCTGAATTACATGAAATACAATCGGCGATCTTTGCGATGAGTGAAACTATTCAGTAGAAAAGTTCTATTAAATTTTGGGCGCGCAATCAAATTTCTCGTACCAAAACGTTGAGAATATTGAAAAAGCCTTTCAGTGATAATTTTTTGCCTCGAAATTATGCAAAGAGAGTCTAGAATGCGTTGATAACGAACTACGTTCAAGACCGCCATCAACATCAACTGATGATCAACACATCAACAATACAAAGGAATTTGACCTTGAGAATCGACGTCTAAAAGACAGAGATCCTATTAGTATCGCTGGAATATCGGAAGGACCAGTGAAACCCATCTTGAAAATTCATTTCGGCCCAAGAAAAGTGAAAGCACGGTTTCCATTATCACTCAATCCTTTCGAAAAATAGCGTCACGTTAACATCTGTGAAACAATGCTTTTAAAGGGCGGCCGGTATAAATTTTGAAGAATAAATTTATAATTTTAAAACTATGAACAAAAATAATATTTTTTCTCATGGTAGTGTAGCTCTTTTTTCAGGTTGTTGACTCGTCAGATGCTCTAATAGTTAGTTAGGAGATCTCTATGCATTACCCTATAATACAGGCTTGCCAGTTACTACATGTTCCTGTCTAGTCTGAAGCAAAAATTCATCTTCAGAAAAGCTTGTTAAAATTGACTGTCCCACTTATAAAATATAGATACACACATAAAATAAGATCTAATTTTTGCAAAGTTCAACTAGACGTCAACATTGTGAGATACCTAGTTGGATTAATTACAAATATGAGCGCCTGCTGAAAGTGATTTCGACATCAAATATTGAAAGTAATATTGAGATACATATACATATATATAAATATGTGGTTTTTAAAAATGAAAATTGAAAGTGAAATAACAACAACAATAAACAAAATTCTACTTAAACACACTAGAATACATTTTTCAAATGGAATTTGGACAACAAAAATTGTGCATCTAAATCCAAAATTATATGTGCCATTTGATTACAAAGCAAATATCATATTGAAATTAGCGTTAATTTCAGCATTTTTCAATTCGCTTATATTTGATTTAGATTGTATAGTTTTTCGTATTAAGATATCAAAAATGCGGTTAAAAGGGTGCCATTATGTAAATTTTATTTTGGTTTTACATGACGCGTGCTCAGTGACTCGCTTTAAATTTTGAAATATTTGCAAAATGAATTTAGGAGATATACTTGTCTAAAAATTCAAATTTGATAGATATTTCAATATTCATTTCGAGCTAACACATGCCTGACCATTTTCTTCAATTTATTAATTTTTGAAACAGTTTTAGATKTCGAGGGTCTTCCAGAATGAGGCATGTCTTCAACAATCTCTTGACCGTCTTTGAAGACTTTGCACCACTCGTAGAGATGTGGTTTTGATAAAACTGAATCACCATCAGCCCTTTTCAATATTCGCAACGATTCGAAACTATGAATGTATGTTTAACTCAACAATTACAAGCGCACATCTAATACTTCCACATAACAATTGTTGTATATAAATTCCTTGTATTCTGCTCGTAATTGCGAGTATTTTCAATGAKTTCCGCATGTAAACCATGTGACTGAAATGTTACAGCAAAAACTGAGTAATTTGTTTACYAATGAAAGGGACATGAGTAATGATGAAATAATTTCAACTATTTTTAAATCGGGGATGTAGAAACATGAAAACTATCAACGCCATTAGCAAAATGACTTTACATTTTGATTGGATACAAATTTTATGACGTAAATTATGCAATAGTACGTTCCGGAATTGCATAGTAATTAGTCTTCAAACATTGTGATTGCAAAGAATATCAATATCTATTTGTAGTTGAAAAAGTTCTACGAATATTGAAACGGGTTTCGGTAGACTCAGCTGGCATTCAATTTCAAATGCATCTAGTGAATATACACTAAATTTACTTAAGGTCTGAAGGAACTTATTTCAATTCAAATARGTTAATATATTTTGTATTTCTATCAAATCAATTAAGAATTTAGAAAAATGTATATGAAAACAGGAAAGTAGTTTACTTCTACCTGTTGTTACTAGTCTAATTAANGAGATACATATACATATATATAAATATGTGGTTTTTAAAAATGAAAATTGAAAGTGAAATAACAACAACAATAAACAAAATTCTACTTAAACACATTAGAATACATTTTTCAAATGGAATTGGACAACAAAAATTGCGCATCTAAATCTAAAATTATATGTGCCATTTGATTACAAAGCAAATATCATATTGAAATYAGCGTTAATTTCAGCATTTTTCATTTCGCTTATATTTGATTTAGATTGTATAGTTTTTCGTATTAAAATATCAAAAATGTGGTTAAAAGGGTGCCATTATGTAAATTTTATTTTGGTTTTACATGACGCGTGCTCAGTGGCTCGCTTTAAATTTTGAAATATTTGCAAATAATGAATTTAGGAGATATCCTTGTCTAGAAATTCAAATTTGATAGATATTTCAATATTCATTTCGAGCTCTATTGCCATCTCTCTAACACATGCCTGACCATTTTCTTCAATTTATTAATTTTTGAAACAGTTTTAGATGTCGAGGGTCTTCCAGAATGAGGCGTGTTTCAACGATCTCTTGACCGTCTTTGAAGACTTTGTACCACACGTAGATTTTGATAAAACTGAATCACCATCAGCCTTTTTCAATATTCGCAACGACTCGAAACTATGAATGTATGTTTAACTCAGCATTTACACGCGCACATCTAAAATTTCCACAGCACAATTGTTTTAGAGAAATTCATTGTATTCTGCACGTAATTGCGAGTATTTTCAATGATTTCCGCATGTAAACTATGTGACTGAAATGTTATGCCGAAAACTGAGTAATTTATTTACCAATTAAAGGGATATGATTAATAATGAAATGATTTCAACTATTTTTAAATCGGGGATGTAGAAACAAGAAAACTATCAACGCCATTAGCAAAATGGCYWTRCATTTTGATTGGATGCAACTAGTCTACATACATTTTGATTGCAAAAAACATTAATTTTWAGTTGTAGTTGAAAAAGTTGTATGAATATTGAAACAGGTTTCGGTASATTCAGCTGTCATTCAATTTCAAATGCATCAAGNGTTAAAAGGGTGCCATTATGTAAATTTTATTTTGGTTTTACATGACGCGTGCTCAGTGACAAGCTTAACAYTTTAAATTTTGAAAATTTGCAAATAATGAATTTAGGAGATATTCTTGTCTAAAAATTCRAATTTGATAGATATTTTYAAATCCCAATAATAATACGGCAGTTAGTTGATGGTATTAATTGTAGTTTTGGCCTTGAAGTCGGTAGCAATCGTGTTTCAATGCGGTGGTGTATTATCATCGTGTGAAATTCATGTGCTGTTCGTCCACCATTCYGCTCGTTTTCGACGGACGTCGAAAGCCGTCAAGCAAATGCCTCAATACGACCAAATATAATCCCATATTGACAGTCTGGCTCTTCGGAAAAAAACTATGTTGCACAAACCCACCAATATSGAAAAAAATATTTGATTTTTGAACAACTTTGGCGTGTTTTTTTTATTTTCAGCACGTTTTTTCCCTCCATTTCGATGATTGTTGACTTGTTTGCATGTCAAGCGCATAAAACTATGTCYGATAAGCAGTTATAATGCTCTCCTTGGGTGTGGAATCTGAATTCACACTATCAACCRTATACAAAAATATCTTACGGTACTCTTTTTGAAAAAATCAGCTTTATCGTGATGAGTCTAAAATCATTCGAAGGGACTYGCGAGGGATATCGAGCTCTATTGCCATCTCTCTAACACATGCCTGACTATTTTCTTCAATT